TTTAGGACGTTAAAAGTCTAGCTTTACCTCAAATGTGTTTCTCTTTGTAAAGCTACCATCAACAAATTACAAGTTTTCATCGTTTTCTTTCTATAGTTTAGTTAAAGTGAAAGGAAATAAATGACAGATTGTTTACATTGAAAGGCATGCATTCTATAGTTCATTCTATAGTTCTCCAAAATACCTTTCTATGAAATATGTGAATTTTTAAAGTGGCCTCTTCACAAAATCATCACAAATCGTCTCTCTCTCACTCTCGCACAAATTCGTTTCCATTTTCAACCACTCCCCTGCCCATTTCACCTTCAACTCCCCTCTTTTCCCCCCGATAATTTTTGGAGTTAACCGATTTTTGGCACTCCACCCTTTTTTTCCTTTCAATTTTTCACTAACTGTATACATAGAAAAGTTTTGGCACATATTTTTGAAAGCGTTAAAGCCTTTTAGCCTTTTCTTTCTTTCTTTCTTTTAAAGTATAGCCTTTTGCTCTTTTGCTGCTTTTGCTAATCGAGTTTAAATAAAAAGTCCCTTAGTGACTGATAAGTTGACTAGCTTCACCCATAGCTCTATAGCTTAAAATATCTAGCTGCTTCTAGCTGCTTCTAGCTGCTTCTAGCTGCTTCTAGCTGCTTCTAGCTGCTTCTAGCTGCTTCTAGCTGCTTCTAGCATTTCATACACTTCAATATAGTCATCAAACATCTTCTGTACAATATTTGATTCAACTATACATCTAGTAAACAAGTGCTTTACATTTCCCATTGGACTTCCCATAGAGCTTCCCATTGAACTCTCCCCCCGTTTCCCCAGGTAATCGTTTAATCTCCACTGCACTGTCCTACTTTCAAAATTCTCCCAATTTTCATTTTCAATAGTTGTCTGTAAATGTCTGTAAATATACATTTTACTGTTTTTCTTTTTTGCTTTCATCATTTGCTTTGAATACTTTTCATTTTTCTTCAACTCTTGATCACTAAAATCACTAAAACTATTCTCAATGAAGAGAAAAAGAGAGACTTTTTTTTACGATCGAATTCTCTTTGGATACCTTTTTATTTGAATGTGTTCAAATGGTTATTTGAAGAGATTGTCGAAAGAAATTCCCCCAAATTGTTTACACAGTTTTGAATAACGTTTTTCAATAGATTTTTTTTGTGTATTTCAGTGATATCTCAGTGATATTTCAGTGATATTTCAGTGATATATCAGTGATGAATCTTCAGAGGTTTCATTGTTGAGTTTACCTTTGAAACAAGTTCGTTTAGAAGTAAAATCAGTAAATCAGTGAAAGTAAATCAGTGAAAGTAAATCAGTGATGGTAAATCAGTGATGGTAAATCAGTGAAAGTAAATCAGTGATCTCTACGAATTTCTTTCTACCTTAGAAACGAAAAAAAAAAACAGTTTTAAATCTTTTAAACATCTTTTAAACCTTTTAAACCTTTTAAATCTTTTAAATTTGATAGATTTTAAAGACGTTAACTAAACGATAAGATAATCATTTTTTTTTTCTGTTGAGAAAGAGAAGAAGAGTAGTAGTAGAGTGAAAGAAAAGAACGCTGAATGGCCATTTACCGAGAAATGATTCCCTTTTCCACGCAAAAATCGGCAATCTATCAACTGGATGTCGCTGGATTTTTGGGAAAATAGAAAACTTTCAACTTTCCTTTTTTCTTCTTACTTACTTACTTACTTAGTTATTTACTTGTAAATTCTTGAATTCTCTTTATTTCCTCTCGTTTCCATCACTCATTTACTGATTTCACTTCTAAACGAATTTGTTTCAAAGGTAAACTCAACAATGAAACGTCTGAAGATTCATTACTGATATATCACTGATATATCACTAAGATATCACTGAGATATCACTGATATATCACTGAAATCCACTGCAAGAGTAACAATTCCTTTACTTTTCACTTTTCTCATATATTAACTTTAGAATAAGAAGAATATTTAAGGAATTTTAGATTCCGAGTATCTTCCAAGTAGTTTAAATTCGAAAATGTTAAATGATCGACTCTTGAAGCTGGGATTTGCTTTAGATCGGATCTAGATCTACCCAGTTCTACCTAGAGTCCTGAGAGCTTAAGAGTTTGACGACTTTAAGCCTCTAGTACTCAAGTACAAATTGCCAACCGTTTTTCTGTCCTGTCCTGTCCTGTCCTTGATGCTGAAACTTCACAACCTGACTTCTAGCTGGACTCTTGTCTAGCTAGGCTTCAAAGCTGGCTTCAAAGCTGGCTTCAAAGCTGGCTTCAAAGCCGGCTTCAAAGCTGGCTTCAAAGCTGGCTTCAAAGCTGGCTTACAGCAATAACACCCAGATCTGCGGGCGTTTAGTGATCTCTATGAATGCTCAAAGATCTCAAATGACGTTCATTCTCGTTCTCCTTGGATTCCCCATCAATGTCGATCTTCCCGTCCTGTCATTTCTCTGACCTATCCAATTGATATCACTTTTTTTCCCCGATTTGAAATAAGTGTGAGTTTTTCCAAGAGTGACACCTCGTTGAGCTCTTTTTTTAAAAATTTATCGATTATTTTAGCCAAATTTCCCGGAATTAAATGTCATTTTAAACTATCAAGTCTAGTTTTTGACTTTAGCCCGCTAAAGGGGACTTTTCATTGATTAAAGCTTAAGATAAAGCCTACCAATCGATCCATTGACCCCGAAAATCCCAGGGCACAAATTCCTGGGGCTAAATCTCGTTTCTAGACCATTCACAAAGTGAAAGCAAACTCCCAGTCAGTGTTCTTTGTGCGCGCGCGTAATCGCTCTCCATCTGGCAAATCCATTGGTATAAAATGCTTTCCTTTTGAATTCGTAAAGAGAAAGAAGCGGTGAGCGACTGAGCCCATTTTGCCGTCACCATGCCTAAACTTTGGGATCAATTTTTCCGACGATTACTAATTCAACCCAGGCAATTTCTGGTATCATTTAAAAGCCTGAAATCTTCTCTATTCAACGCTAGAAAAAGTTTAAGATCATATGCGTTTTGGGCAAGGTTCTAGGCCTTGAAAGGCGATGATCTTGAAAGTCGAGTCGGCAAAAGTCTTTCGTTTTCTTTTTTCTACAATTTTTGCTCGAATCTTGAAACTTTCCTAGTTCAATCTAACGATATTTTCACGTTTTCTTTCCAGATTTCACACAATTTTCAATGAAATTTCTATGGAAATTCATATTTCCGCAAGAAAAAAAGTAAACAAAGTTCCGAGCATGGTCAATATTTGAATGTTTGGTCAAAGGAAACTTTCCCCCATTTTTTTTTTCTATTCTATTCTATTCTATTCTATTCATTCATAAAAAAAACTCTTACACTAGTGTAAATAATGTAAACACTAATGTAAATATTAGAGTCCCTGATTTCTGAGAGATTCTCTAAAAACATCAAAAATCAAAAAAATCAACAAAAATCAACAAAAATTTAACCTTAAAATTCCACGAATTCAACCCGAAAACCCAAAAAATTTGCATAAATTCAACTTTTTTATCACTTTTTCCAATGGATTATTCAAGTTTTTTTGGTTTTTTTGGTTTTTTTTTTCAGAAAATTATTCTCTCTAACATTTCGATGAGAAATAGAGAGAAATTTGGGAAAAGAGAAAGAAATATTGAATGAAATGATGACTTCAATCGAGTACACTGCAATTTTCTCGCATCTCTTTTGAGTAGAGACAAAAATTCTAACGGAAATCATCAAGCTGGATGCCACACTGCTATATTATTCTATAAGATTTCGATCTTTTTACTTTTTGAGAGCTTGGGAGCTGGTCTTGTCTTGAGTGTTGTAGCGTACTGTAGTGTATTGAATTTATTTATTTAGCTATGTACTACTTGGAAAGCCTAAAGCTTAAGCCAGCTCTCGGAAAGCCAGCTCTTACAAGCTTCTCTTTCAAAGCCATTTACAGATTATCCATCATTTTACAGTTAAAAGTTTTTGAAAGTTAAAGAAATGATTGTATTTGTAAAAATTTTATTTTGTTTCCCCTCAATGACCTTGATGTCGAGGGGAAAACATTACATGAATGTAGAAAAGAAGTAGAAGTAAAAGAAGTAGAAGTAAAAGAAGGAAAAAGAAGGAAAAAGAAGGAAAAAAAAGAAGTAGACACAACTCCATGATGTACTCTCCCTATTCAATCCGCTAATTTTACCCGATTTCCTCACCTTTCCCATTTTTTTTCAAGGACAAAGCACTCAATATTTTTGTGTAATTTGAAAAAATGAAAAAATGAAAAAATGACAAATGCTTTTTGAAAGACTAACGGGGGAAAGCACTTGAACGATGAGAGAAAGAAGGGAAGAAGGGAAGAAGGAAAGAAGGAAAGAAAAGAAAGAAAGAAAGAAAAGAAAGAAAGAAGGAAAGAAAGAAGGAAAGAAAGAAAGAAGAGAAATCGGGAATCGAATCAAGTCTTAACTAATTTATCGACTTACTTTCAAGAATTGAATCTAGCTTTAAGAACATTCTTGTTGTCTAGATTCTTCTGAGTCTAGATTCTTCTGAGTCTAGATTCTTCTGAGTCTAGATTCTTCTGAGTCTAGATTCTTCTGAGTCTAGATTCTTCTGAGTCTAGATTCTTCTGAGTCTAGATTCTTCTGAGTCTAGATTCTTCTGAGTCTAGATTCTTCTGAGTCTAGATTCAGCTCATTACAGACTAATCTTTAAACAGAGTCAGCACTAGGATCAAGGCAGAGTCAGGGGAAAGACTCAAGTCCAGGAAAATGCCAGGATTCGAGTCTAGGAATCCTGGCATTTTGCTTTGGACAGCGTCAGCTATTGAACGCTTTCTCTCAGCCTCGAAAGTGATTATATTGGTTTGAACTCTTTGAGACAATCATATCATTTTATATTTCTTAAAATATGCTCAAAACTATCTGAGTGACTTTCAATGTTTGCATTGAAATTTCCCGTTACTTTTTTTACCTTTCCCCAATGCTATTACCATTTTCCTTTAGGGTGTACACTTGTTGGTGTATCGGCAATTCTCAATTCTCGTTCTTGAAAAATGCCATCTGGTGGGGGCACCCATCAGCCATTGCCCACCAGTGAGGAGACTGCGAAGGCACACGAGGCGAAACTCCATTTGGTGAGTAAAGGGTTAACGATTTCTAAGCCTCGTCGAGGTTAGGGCCAAGTCCAGCCTTGGCTTCTAGTCAGTTTCTAGTGGGACAGGGTGTGGCCAAGCTCAGATCTAAGCCGGATCAAGCGCGGGTAGATCAGGTCAATAACTGTAGCCAGGAGTCAGAACAGCTATACTTCTCTTGGCTTCACAAGACTAACAAATTTGGTGAAGTTGGCCTAGCCAGGTACTATGTACGTTTAGGATGAGCAGGTTGAGCATGACGAGAATGGTGAACGAGGGCAATGGTCAGGTCAATTCGATTTCTTGATGAGTATGGTCGCGTACGCTGTGGGACTTGGTGAGTGACATTTACATTTAAAAGTTCTCCATTTGCAGGCAATGTTTGGCGTTTCCCGTACTTGTGCTACAAGAATGGCGGTGGATCTTTCCTCGTCGCCTACTCGTTTTTCTTCCTCCTTGCTGCGGTGCCGATTTTCATCATGGAGGTACTGTAGCACTTTGAGCTGCGTTCTCTAGCATACTATAGAAACTACAGTATGCTAGAGGACGCCAGAGAGCGCAGCTTAGCTTTAAAGGCTTTAAACTCATGATTTCCAGGTGTCAATCGGTCAATACCTTCAACGGGGTGCTATGGAAATGTGGAATATGTGTCCGATTTTTAAGGGTAATCGTTAAACTCTAGAAAAGACAGCCAAACTTTGAAATATCTCGAATATCTCGAGAATTAGGTGTGGGCATTGGAAATGTGGTGATCTCGTTCATGTGTATCGCGTATTTTTGTGTGATTTGCGCATGGGCTATGTACTACATGATCGCCTCATTCAACTCGACTTTCCCCTGGGAAACGTGCACGAATTGGTGGTGAGTTGCAACGGCAAATTGGTGGCAAATGCAACGGCAAGTTGGAATTGGTGGTGAGGCTAAAAACCGCTCAAACCTACCGTAACCTCATTTTCTTGTTTTAAACCACCAAACAGCCAGACCAGAACTAGTTCATGATAGCCAGCAGCCAGCCAGCCAGCCAGCCAGCCAGCATCAGACGACTCATAGTCAAATCTAGAACCAGGGTAAAGGGCAAGACCGGAATCTGAACTAGAGCTAGGATTAGGTAGGACTAGATCGATCTAGAGCCAAGGTAAAGTCTGGATCAGTTCAGGAAGCCAGAGTCAAGGCCAAGATCAGCTAGGACTAAATCCTATAAGCTAGGACAAATCAAGGTTAAGCCAAGGTTAGAGCCAGGTTCATGGAAGAGTCCGGAGGCAAGCCAAACCTAGGACCATAGCCGGGCTAGATCTCGACTCTCTTTTCCAGGAATGATGCCAAATGTGTGACGGGCAAAGAGCATGAGTCAGTGCTGAAGACGATCACCAAGAATCTCACCGCACACAATTTATCGACACAGACCTCTGTCGAGCAGTACTGGGAGTAAGTTTAGAAAAGAATATAGTTACTGTAGATGCAAGGATTACGGTGCTTTCAGACGTCGGGTCTTGATGCAAACGGAAACCATTTACGAGTTTGGCGGCATTCAATGGGAACTCTTTGGTAAGAATTTTTGAACATTAAACAATTGCTAGCTTAATATCTACGATCTCTTGTCTAAATTCTTATCCACTTTTGCAGGTTTAATGGCTCTCTCGTGGGTGATTGTCTATTTCGCATTGTGGAAAGGGATCACAAACGCGCGAAAGGTACGGTAATCTTTCTACAAGTTGCGACATTTCTCTAAAACCTATTGTACCTAGAGGAGACTAGGGTTGACTAGGTCATGCTAGGGTTGACTAGGTCATGCTAGGGTTGACTAGGTCGTGCTAGGGTTGACTAGGTCATGCTAGGGTTGACTAGGTCATGCTAGGGTTGACTAGGTCATGCTAGGGTTGACTAGGGTTGACTAGACCATGCCAGAAACCAGATCCACACTTTTGAGCCGGCTTCTAGCCAGTTATAGGAAAAAGTCTGTAAGCTAAGACTAGACCAGGTTCAAGTCTGGCTTCTGATACAGTGGTTTGGTCTGGTTTAGGGAAAGAAGCTGTTTCTCGTTCAGACAAGGTTAGTCTTAGCTTCTGATCAGCTGAACAAGGCTGAACAAGACTGAACAAGGCTAAACAAGGCCCAGATCCGAAGAGCTTGTCTCTAGAGCAGCTCTGGAGGGCTTTCTTCTGAGTATAGATCTCAAAACCCACTGAATTCTCTTAAAACATTGAACTTCTAAGCAACAACTGATAAACAAATCGATTTCTGATTGCAGTTCGTCTACTTTTGTGCACTGTTTCCCTATTTCATCATCATCGTGCTCCTCCTCCGTGGCTTGACTCTTCCCGGCGCCGGTACAGGCATCTACTATTATCTAACACCGAATGTGACAAAATTGATGGAAACAACTGGTAGACTTTGACTTTAGACCAAAATAAATCAAATTTCTTATAGTCTGGAAAGATGCAGGCACCCAGGTCTTCTACTCATACGGCGTTGGGTTCGGGACTCTGATCGCACTCGGCTCACACAACAAGTTCAATCACAATTGTTTCAGGTAGAAAAAGTTTTGCGTGTACTTTGTGCTTGCAAACGAGCGATTCTTGGTTTCTCCAGAAACCAGAGAGGAAAATAACATTAGATTCGTTTCAGAGACGCAATTGCGATGTGTTTCATCAACGGTGGTACTTCAATTCTGGCTTCGTTCGCCATTTTTGGCATTCTCGGCTTTATGAGTGTCACCTCGGGCAAACCGATTGATCAAATCGTGAAACCCGGTTAGAATAGATACTAGTTCTCATCTGTGACATCCAATTTGAAATTTAAAAATGCAATCTCCCAGGTGTCGGCTTGGCTTTTCTCGCGTATCCGGAGGTGGCGACAAATTTGCCAATGAAACAGCTATGGGCTTTCCTCTTTTTCCTCATGATCACCATTCTTGGGTTGGATAGTCAGGTGTTCTAAAGATATTTGTGTATCTAATCGAAATCTTCTGTTTAGGTTTGCATGATGGAGGGTTTATACACGGCGCTTGAAGACGCTTTCCCCACACATTTACGAAAGCATAAACGAGTGAGCATTGAAAAGAAAATCGATTGATTTAGTTTAAAAATTGTTTTAACAAACGAAACAAACTGAAGCATGTCTATTAAAAACTAGTTTATCTTTTGACTAGACTAAGGCTAAGCCTGAGAGCTTATCCGATTCGTTTCCAGGTGGCACTCGGCTTGATGTGTCTTCTCTTTTTCATTCTCGGTATACCGATGGTTTCCTATGTGAGTGTTCAAATAGAAAATAATCTATATCTATATTCTATATTCTATATTCTATATTCTATTTTCTATATCCCAGGCTGGTGCTCATTGGTTGACTCTTGTCGATGCGTACGGTGCTTCCGGATATGCTCTGCTTTTCGTCGTTTTCTTCGAGGTCGTCGGTTTATCATGGGGCTTCGGTGAGTGAAAGGGATGCACTTGGGTAAACTCCCAGTTTCTGTCTTTCAATTGCTATGAGAACTTGAGTGCACTAGACGGGGAGCGTTTGCTCAACCTGGTTGATCCAGTTCCAAGGGCAGACAGTCTAAGCCTTGCTTAGCCTGACAATCCGCTAGATGGCTAAGCCTGGTTAAGCCTGGTAAAGCCTGGTAAAGCCTGGTTAAGCCTGGTTAAACCTGGCTAAGCCCAAAAGCTGATCAATTCATTTCCAGGCGCTGAACGGGTGATGTCGGCGATGAAAGAGATGGTAGGCTTTCGGCCACCGATTGTCTTCAAGCTTCTCTGGAAATACTTGTCTCCATTGACGGCTTTCGTGAGTTTTTTTGTCGTCAATGCAATACCAGTTTTCTGGTTCAGTTTCTTTTCTGGTTCTGCATCTACTACTATGAGCCAGTAAAGGATCCAAATAAACAAGACTATCCCTGGTGGTCGAATGTTTTCGGTGAGTGAACAGTATGAGTTTTAGCTTTGAATGGAAATTTCCTAGGTTTCTTCTTGTCTTCTTGTTCGATGGTGGTCATTCCGGGGTACGCGATCTACTACTTAGCCACTCAAAATCGACATCTCAGCCTAAAAGAGGTGAATAAGTAATTCCATTTCTCTAGATCGCTAATCAATTATCAATTATCAATTCAGCGTTTCCTGAAAGCCATCCGTGTGCCTGACAATATTCACACCGGAGCCACAAGACGAGCCGCTGAGCTTAAAGTTCTACAACACTAGGAAAAGCAAAGCAATGTTTTAACCAGTCTAACCAGTCTAAAGTGCTTTGTACTCTCGAATAAACTCTCCAGAAAGGGTTTTATTGAAAAGCCAGAGAGTTCACAAAGTATCATAAATCATTTCACTTCGACCAAACTTTGAAAGTTTTTTCATTCGCGAAAAAAACTCACCTAAATGATCCTCACTTCTAATTATCTTTATGTTTCTTCATTCCAGAAAAAAAAAACCCCAATATTTTTGTGTTTTCTTTGATTAGTCTTTTTTCAATAACTGAATATTTTTATGTTTTCTCTCATAAAATTCACTTATTCAATCACTTTTCTTTATAAATTTTTGTGCTAAATTCATAAAACTTTCGATTATCAAATAGCAAAAGAACAAAAGAAGATTTTATGGTCATTCATCCAAAGTACAATATAGTTAGCTTACCAAAAAATGCAAAGAAGAAGTGCGGGGAGTCAGAGTCGCCTCACTAGACTATCACTAGACACTAGACTATCGTGTCACCACCCCGAAAAGTAGACATACAAAGCAAAACATTGAAAACTTGTGTGCTTACTTTTACCATAGCCAGTCGATAAGATACGCTTAGAAACGTACCGCAAAAGCTACCGTACCATTAAGTAGTCTAAATTGGCTCTGGAGTCTGATAACGTAGCTCCATTAGCATTAGGAAAATCAAAAAAAAAGTCGAATGGCCGTCACCATGTTGTGCTCTACAACAGAAAAATTAGAAAAACAACAGAAGATTTTTCCGGAATCGCTTTTTTGTTTTAGTGTTAGCTAATTTTTTTCTGTTAAAGTTGGTCTATCTAGCAGCTAACAGATAGAATTGCTTGCAAATATTGTGGCAATCAGAGATCGTACTGCGCGCTGTATTACTCAAAAAATGTCGTCACGACAAATCGATGCCATCATCTAAACCACTAAATATTCGAGAACTTCTCAAGGTGTCTAAAAGCGCCTTCAAATACGGTAACTTGTCTTCTTACCGTGTGGAGATTGATTCTGATAAAGGAGAAAAAGTTCAGGTTACGAAACCTTTTTTCCCGGAAAGCCCTTTTCTTTTAGAGAACACGCGCCTTAAGTTCCGCTCACCTTTTCCACAATCAGCCTTCTCGACTTGCAATTGAAAAAGAATGTTTTCTCAAGAAATGATCGATTTGTGGTCTAAATATTGTTAGCATTTTCGCGGGCTTTTGTCGATTTTTGAGCGAATCGGCTCGCTTTGTAGGCTAATAATTTTTTCCAGAACGAATATTAATTCTCAGCTTTTTATCTCGTTAATTCTCAGCTTTTTATCTCGTTAAATAAGGAAGATTTTAGGCTTTCAAATATGATACTAAATAGAGCTTTATTGGATTTTGTAATTCAAGAAAATCAAGCATCACAATCAAGCACCGCCGAGTTGGATTGACCTCGTTTTGGCAGAGTCCTGGACACAAACACAATCCAATAAAGCGCTTTATTTGTGATTAAACGAAAGCCTGAACTCTCCTCTATGCAACGATAAAGAATTTGAAAAAATAATATTCTCTCTAGCCAGAGTTATGAGCCTTTAAAGTAAGGTATTGATTGAAAATGGGAAAAGGCATGCATTGCATCATTCGGACTCGACTCAACATGTCGATAGTCGATACTCAATAGTCGTCCGACGAGAGAATTTCCTCGAAAACGCCAAACTCTTTCATCGAACCCTAAAAAAACTCCAAATTTACCGTTTTATTTTATCAATCAGGAAGACATATTATAATTATTTTCATTTTTGCTAGCATTTCGAGTAACAACCCAATGATCTCTCCACCCGTCCAACCGAACGCCGATTAAAACTCACAATAAAAGAATGCCCAAAAGCGTGAAAATTAAAAGCTTTTGCGGTTCCTAAATCAATGCGTGATGAAGCATACTTTTTTGGTGCCTTTTTGGTGACTTTTTGAATTGGAAATTTTTATTTGTGGTCTTTCTAGAGTGAAGAATGGAAATTCAGTAGTAGTTTTGTCAAAAAAAAAATTTAAAGCTTTAAATGAGAGCATCTCGAAATATCTAAAAGCGCAATACTGAAATGTAGCTTCAAAAGGTTGTCTTTTAAGGAGCAAAGCTTCTGGGGAAAAATGAGCTAAATGCTCGAATGGGGAAACTGATTTATCTTTGGGTTCCTTTTCACAGTCGGCTTTCTCGTAAAGAATCTTGATTTTCTTGACTTTTCACAGAAAGAGTCTCCTTTTACGAATCAGCTTTTTAAACAAAGCTTGTAAAACTACCGTAATTTTATTGCATATAGTATTTTTATTTTGTAGGTTTTATCGGATGGAACACGTGGAGAGTGTTAGGATCTCCGTAGCAACTACAATAAACCAATAATAAACACTTATAACGTCCTCTACAGCAACCCTATTATTTGGTAGCTACATTTTACCCTCGTGTCGCAATTACAGTAATCCTAGAGTAGTTACTGTAGTACCCTTATCCGGCTTCAGATCAAATTGACCATCTGATTTGCTTAAATACTCGACGAAGATTGATCAACGGAGAATCAATCAATGGACAACAACGATCATTTTTCGCAGAAACCATAGGATCGAGGTGGTTGCGAAGAAGCGGCCACCTATTTGGCGAATATCATTGTTACAGTCGTTTGTTTGTAACATGCTTTGAATGAAATGAATTACAAATCGACGATCTGTGATGACTTTTTGAAGAGGATGGTACGAGCACAAGGTAACAGGTGTAATTGCTCTCAGCAAAAACGGCCACCGATTTTTTGTAAGGCGCTACTCCTTTTCGCTTAATTAAAAACTGTTAGTTATCTGTTGAGATTGCTTAAAAGCATCTAACAAGAGGAAATCAAAAATTCATTCGCCAATACAATAATTTAAACACTAACCATAAAAATGAACATTTATTAATAGCCAACAGTACATGTTTTTTAAAAATCCGACTCGTTCAATTCCTTTTCTGCATCGTGAAGTAGAGCGTTTCCTTGTTGCCGTGTTTCTGTCGGAAGCGTTGAGGATTCAAATTCTGAAAAACAAATTGATGAAATAACACATAATAATAAACATACCTTGAGGATTTTCGCTAAACGAGGCACAATCTCGTTTTTGTCGATATTCCCACACTTTGACTTGAACTTGCTGACTAGATCCTATAAAGAATGTGTAATTGTGATAAATAAAGACAAAAACAAACCTTCGTTGTGTGTGGATTACGTTGAAGATATCGGGTCACCGTTTCCTCATTCAAAATGTCATCAATTGAAGAGGCGCTTTTCGTTGGCGAGTCCCTCAACAGCAAGTTTTTTAGTAACAAATTAACTTTTTAGGCACAACTCGGTTATAGCCCCCGTCTACTTTTAACTTTATTGTAAATAGTTTCAACTTTAACTATAGTCAAACTAGTATTTATGATGCTTGAATAAATAGCTATGTAGAATTATAGTTCTCGACACGCAAATTGATTTTGGCGCCAAATTGTAACATTAAGCAAAAACTCACTTCGATCCGCTGTCTGGATCAAGTTTGGCCTTTTTCGCTTCAACACCGGCAACCGCATCCTCGATGGCTCGTTTCTTTGCCGCAACATGATCCGCTTTCGCTGCCTTTTTCTGAAGAAAACGTTATCTCGAAATTCTTTAACATTTAATTACTTACCGGTAGAAGCATAACGGACGCCGTCTTCTCTTGATCCTCGTCATCCTCACTGTCGGAAGAGTCTAAAGAAAATTCATAAAAAATACACAAATCAAGTCAACCGTTTTCTTCTCCGTCTGCTTTCTTGCCGCGAAGTGTCTCCTTCTTGTTACGCTCTAAAGCCTTACGTTAGCGATTAAAAAATATTACCAAACCATTTTCTTCCTCTTCTTCCTCATCTTCGTCGTCATCGGAATCACCCAATTTACGCAGTCCGTCTTCTTCTCCAACGCCAACGAGCTCCTTGTCGAGTTTTTCGTCGGTGGGATCTCTTCACGACTAAAAACTGATGTTTAAAAAGGTTACATCATGCAAATATACAGAACTGGCATATGTTTGATTCTTTTTAATATTAAGCACTGATTATATTATAGAAAAAAAATCACTCTGTGTCCGATCCCGAATCAGACATGTAATCAACTTCTTGTCCATCCTCTTCCCCATCTTCCGATTCATATTTGGCCACATCTTCGCTTTCCTTTACCCGTTGTCGTTTGTCTTTCTTTTCTCTTTCCGGTCCTTTTTTTTTTCTTGTTTGTCTTCTTTTTGCCCTTTCCACCTCTCGAAGATTCCCCTTCCTCCTCATCTTCATCATCATCCGATGCATCCGTGTCAGAGAAATTATCTTTGATCTTCTAAATTTCATGTGAAAACAATACCTATTTTCAAAAGCTAACTAATCTAGACGTTTTCTCAAGCTGTTCCCCGTCTTCCTGATCGATCGTTTTGAGAATCTGAGCTTTGAGAGCAAACTGGTTGAGATGTTTGGCACGTCTAAAACAAACAATCAAGCTACAAATAGACTTTCTTACTGTTGAAAGAGTTCTTCAGCTTGATCAATGTCTAACACTTTGTGAGTGATTGAGGGCAAGAATTGATGCCAAGCCTCAACCTAAAGAAAACAAATTAAATCTTATTTTGTACTCGATAGTCATAACTAAGCAATGCCAAACTTTACCTTATAAGCAAGAAAATCGTTGTCATTCTTTAGGAAAACCCAATAATCAGCGTGTTCACCGGCTCCACCCTCGCGCATCGAACGAAAGCGACGCACTCGACCACCCAAATAACAAATTTACGTTGAATTATTTTTGGTTAAGAGTCTTAACCAGTAATCATCGCAACTAATTAGGTACACTTCTTACCTTCTTCCATCACTGAAAGTTTCCATGGTTGATTGTCAAGTTTATATGAGCGTGATTGCCTTCCATATTTCTTTCTTCTTGCCTCTTCTCGAGCTGCTCGTCCATATTCTGTGCCTTCGCCATAGTCCTAAAGTAGCAGAGCTTGTAAACAATTATATAATGGCATTGATAGTTCCTCAATACTATAGGCAAGCAAGTTTGACGTGTTATTTGTTGACTTGACTAAGCTTTCATACACAAAATCTTTGCTATTGCACACCTGAGTTGGAGCGTTCACCAAAACCGTGCTTCGATTATCTTCCCTCTCCAGAGATACCTTAAAGAAACGATTGAACACTTATAAATGACATTTTACCTGCGCATTTCCCCAAGACGATGTATCCACTTGGAGATTGCTGTTGAATTTGAGAATCGTGTGATGTTTGTTGGTGTTCATTCTAAATGCAACGCTTTTTTAAGAATTAAGCTTAAAAACTTACTTCGGAACTTTCACCGCATATTCAAGTGTACCCGGGTTTGACATTATGACTGAAAAATTACATGGCTATGAAACTAGTATCAAAAATTTCAGATATTGCGATCGAACTTTGCAAGAAAACTACATTCAGAAGAAGTTATCAAAAGATTTATTCAAAACACGAAATATATTACGTAAACAAACGAAAACAAGATAACAATCGCCTATCAAAGAAAATCACAACAACCTAGAACAAAGAAATAAATAATGCACTAAAAAATAATGCTAGAATCCTAAGAAGCTCTTCTTTTTCTGTGCCGCTTCGAAGCCGATTACCTTGAGTCGAATAATATCGGCGATTTCGTTGGCTTTTCGATTTTGTCCGTAATAATCGTGGAAATTACCCTCGGGATCGATCAAATACATTATCACCTGAAATATTAGGCTTGTTGAAAGCATAAGTTGACAATGACTAGTTGATTTTCAAATTTACAACTCATTTACATCTAATATTGACTAATTCAAATCACTAGATACCTCTCACTGATACAATTTCATTTGGTCTAAATCTGGGTTGCAAGATAATTTGAGCAAAAATTACCGTATGATCAACGATGTAATCATCTTCGGTCGTTTTTGGGCCTTCACTGTGATAAACGCGGAACGTCTTCGCCACCTTTCCAACCTAAAAAACAAAAAGTTTAATAAAGGATGTATCTACAAACTTGTTCTTTTGTCCCGGTATATCCATTCAATTTTGGGGAGAACTCGGAACAATATTGTTTCACGCGTTGCACGGTGTCCCTTGCCGGATCCACAGAGATGAAGATCGGTTTTATTGAGATATTGTCCTCTTTCTTCGCCTCTATTAGATCAACCACCTAAATGTTCAACTGTTAACTGTTTGACTCAATCACCACTAAAAACGACTAACCCAAAGCTACTCTGACAGCTCGACCAACCTTAATCATCTTCTCGATTTCATCCGGACAGATGTCTGGGCAATTCGTGAATCCAAAGTACAACAGCAACCAATTGCCTCGAAGTTGCTCAGAACCTTCTAAAGCAAAGACAATTATCTTTGGTGCTAATGATATAATAAGCTTGTAACTTGCAACGATTGTTGTAACATTCTTATTGGCAGCCCAATCTTGGCATTAGATAACATATGCACGCGTTGATTGATCTCTTCCTAAATTAAAAATTTAGCGAAACTCTGTCACTCCGCTTTGGTACATTTCTAATTTATGAAGATATCAATATGCATACACATGTTATTTAATGCCAAGGTCAGGCTAACAGCAAGATTATTATTATTTAAAATTCTAGCTACCGTAAAAACTCGAATAGAAACCCCTTTTTTATTTTGAGCTTATACCGTAACCTAAAAATTAACATAACCAAAAATAGGTATTTTACACTTTTATTAGTGCAAGGATTTTGCGGGGATTTTTCGAGGAGGAACGTGAGCACATGCGAGGCCTCTACAATCAGGTCTGGCCGAGGCGGATGAGGGAACTAGAGGAAATGATCACTCAATGTTCGTAGAACGATTGTTCAAGTGAAGAGAACGACATACGCTGTTAAATACGCCATGAATTTTTCTATACATGCGGTCGCAAAGAAGTATCGAGTTGATCGTTCAATGCTTCGACGATGAATAGGACAAGAAAAAAAAAGCTTGTACAGCAAGAAAGCCAAGCAAAACGTATGAAAGGCGGACGGGACTTGGCGTCGATTGAGCTGGAGAACGGGGTTGTTACCAGAAATCTATCACAAAGATTTGTTCGATTTCTAATTTTTTCATTGAATAATAGAAGCCCCAGGGTTCCTATTAGAATAATTACGGTATTTTCCACGGTTGAGAGAAGAAAATGAGCTAAATAGCTTAAATGCAAATTTAACCCCTCCCCTAAGTGGATTAGCATCTTATCTTTTCTTCACTTTATTCCAAGCTTACCCAATTTTCCATCTGTATTCACCAGTTCCCACTCTCCTCCAATCCGCGCCTTTCCAGCCGTCATTTTTCTGTGCTTTTCCCGTTCATCTATTCTCTAAAACCATCTTATCAAATGAAAACGTCCTTTAAAATAATTACCATCTTTTTAACGTAGAGTAGAGCTGCTAAACACGTGCCACCGATCATCAGCGTTGCAGCTGCAACTTTCCAGCTGAAGATCCCGCTTCTTTTATGCGCTTCTCGCTAAATAACCCGGATTAGAAGAAAATTTTAACTTCATCACCTCTTTATCCTGTCGAAAGTTCATGTAGTTTTTAGTGATCGGAGCCTCGGTGTCGATTGTTTTTTGAAAATCTTTCTTCAACCGTTCATTCAGCTCATTCAAATCCTTGTCCAACGAAAGGTCATCAGGTTTTTTCGAAGAACACGGTCGATGTTGGGCACGAAGTAGTCTCACATTGAAAAGACGATAGATTTTGATCATAGCTGAAAATAGAACATGTAGTGAGACGGAAAAGAGCATGAAGAGAGCAAAATCTCCAGGTTTATAAATTTTATTGAAATAAAAAGAGTATTCAGCTAAAGAAGCAACAGCAGAAGCTCTATATTTATACTTTCATGAAAAGAAAAAGAGGATTCAGCTTATTCTTTGAAAACTTATTAGCATGATGCGTGATCATATATCTAAAAGCGCAGTTTTTGCAAGTTTATTTCATTTTGGCCTTCTCCCTCAATGTTTGCATCTTCCTCAAGTAATTACGAAATGGTGAACCTACATGTTGGGTGAACGCTATAGGGATGAGTTGGTGTGGCTAGTTGTTTCGTGTACTCACTTGCTCCCCCCTTTTCCGCCTGTTTTCCCCAACCAGTTCATTCTATCGCAAAAACACAACGCGCGCTCATCGATATTTCCCCAATTTGATTAGTGCTTAAGCTTCTAATTATTGTTTCTATCGACTACCTGCGCTTCTCGAACGACTTTTAGAAACAATGCATCAAGAAATCGCCTAATAGTTTGACACATTGCCCTTCTTTCAATGTTTTTGCAACTTTCATTTACTTGTACAAATTTTTCTTTTCAGAAACGTTTTACTGAAGTGTTATCGCTCGGTGAAGCCCCGTCTACCCAACAAATTGGCCGCAAACGAACTGGTTGATTGATAGCTTGAAGGTAAATTGTGCCCACGTGACCTTTTTGATCTAGCGCTAAGTGTTCAGTTTAACCAGGAATCCTTGTGAAGAAAAAGTACGTGAATAAGAGCAAAGGAGGTCGTAAGAATAGTTGTCCATCGAAACATTACCATTGTCTGTTTTTAGAAAGATTCTCTTCTCAGCCTCAACGTCTTGCGTTTGGTGATGATATGAGGGACGGCGAGCCGCCACGATTATGCTACACTGATCCGTCCGGAGTATTGAGGTAAAACTTTGTGCCTTATAAAGTTACATTTTTTTATAGGGGACCATTTGATGAGTGGCGGATACTTGAATGGTACCGACAAGGATTCTTTGCAAATACGATTTTGTTCAACTTGGAAAACGATGATGTCAATAAATTTTCATTGGGTAGGTTCAAGAGGAAAGTATTCTTGAAATTATTCTTTAGGTGATTTGATAGAACGTTTTGGAAGGGACAACCCGTTTGCAAGTCGATCAAATTGGCAAACTAGTCGCTTGAATGGTACAACGTCAACGGCCGAACAAGCACCGAAACATGAGGGGAATCAACAATTTGTTTGCACGGAATGCCGAAGAAACGGTGAAAGATTGGACGCTCTTCTCACGGCTGTACATAGGATCCAAAATGTACTTGAAGTCAACACACAAAATGTTGCCGACAATACAACTGTATGCTTTTTTCACTTCTTGCAGTATAATTCTTTACTTTTAGGCTATTGCTTCCCTGCGAGCAATGCTTGAAGAGTCGCGTCTGTCCGCTTGGAAATGGAATTCTTCAGATATCAACTCAGAGCCCCAACAAAAATGTATGCTTGTATTTGTTTGTGCAATAATTTTTGTTTAGTACCAGCTCTTCCAACATTTGCCGACATTCTTTCCAAGAGTGATTCCGGAATTGTGCCCAACGAAAGCTTTTCAAAGAAGGCATCACCCGACAAGGAAGTACTTCAGGAAAACGGTGGTGGCAACGAAGTGGGTGACATTTGCTGTGTTATTTAATTTTGAGCATAGTAGCATAATATTTTAGGTCGATGAGAAGGTTCTCGGCAAAGATTGGCCTGTAAAAGGCTTTGCTAAAGAAACAAATCCTGGCGATGATTTGGCATCTTTGGAGGTTCGTTGATTCCTCTATAACCATCAACTTGGTTTTAGAAATCTTCAACAAAAAGCTTGCAATTGGATAGCTTTGTGTCGGCCGAGCTGATGAAGATGCAAAGTGTACCAGCGGCTACAAAAAAACAAGATCAAGGGGTAATTTCTCAAAGTTTGCGAAATATCTTTCTTTTAGGAATCTCTACTACAGAAGATCAAAAAGAAGAGCAATGGGAATTCAACTGAAAAGAATGGCCACCCACACTTCACACTGCCCGACTCGGTGAAAGCTGAAGATATGAGGAACGATGCAAAGGCAGGACCCGAGGATCTACACAAGAATACAAATCAAGCACACGAAAATGATTGGATAAACGCCAACACCAAGGTACCGTTATCAAGTTTTTCCTTGATGCAATGATTTTAGCCATCGTTTCATCCGTTTCCTGGTGCCACCACGCCGGGAGTTGTACAGCCAATGATGGTGCAGGGCGGGGGAATGCCCAAATGGTCAACGGGCGTCAATGCAAATGTCGGCTCGCCGCATCACTTCAACTACAATCACGGTCAAAATGTGACACCAATGACGAGCACTTGGGGACAAAACTCGTTTGCACCGCTTCAGGTAAACTTTTGGAAAAATTTAGCTATTAAATAAAGTACTAAATATGCAAGTTCGGCGTCAGGAAAATATTAAAACTTTCTTTAGATGGCGTATCGAACTCCTGCATCTCCACCTACGCAAACAAATCCCCCCACCTTTGCCGCTGCTGCTTTGAAAGAAAAGAAGGAAATCAATCCACCGCGGAAGGTTTTTAAAACTTGAGAAGCAAATCAAATCCTTTTCTTAAGCCTGAAACAGAAGAGTCGGGTCCTCGATTGGTGCCGGTTGGTCGAAATCCCCCTCGAATGATTATGCGCCGAGCCCCAACCAACAAACAAATGTACGTTTATTTGGCCCACTACTAATGGAGAACTTGTTTAGATAGAGCGCTGTTGTTTGGATGTCGCCATATAGCAAAAAGTATAACATTGACTTGAGGCACATCATCTTCCCATCTTGCCTTTTCCCCTATTTTCCACTCTCTTGTCTCAGAGCACACCTCCTTGTTCATATCAAATTATTTCACTTATCTCTGAATATTCTGAGCGATATCTTCTTTTTTTCGTGTTTTTTGAATCTTTTTAATAACGTTTGTGCTGTGCTTTTACGGCATGTCTTATTTTAGAGTGGTTGGCCAAGTGTTTAGTAGAAGTTTAAGGTTTGGTGAACGGCTCGATCAGAGATACACGATGAGAGATGAGAGCTCATTTGTGGTAGTTTAAGTTTTGTTGTTGCAATTTCTTGTTTTTAAATAAATAATTTTATCATTTCTGTTCGGTTATCTTTTCAGTTCATTGCTAATTGATCCCTTTAATGTTTGCGAAACTGAGCAGATTATCGTCTTGGCGGCCCTTGTAGAAGCTTTAATGAAGATTCCACTCGAATTTCACTTGATAATTTGTGGCATTTTGTTAATGCTCCTTAAGGAATTCCCCAGTTGGATAGGTGTAAACGTTTTATTAAAGCTTTTGCAAGCATTTAATTATTTTTAAACGTTCGTCTGTTGTAGGATGCTTGGGATTGTTGGTGAAATTGGGGCGTTAAGTCGTTATGCTTTGCTCCTTCATAGGACGCGGTTCCTCTCATCTACGTGCCGCGCTTCGTTCTATGCTCAACACTTGCTCATTCCGTTTCCACATAAAAAGATGTCGCCTTTTTCCAGCACTCGATTTCATTCGATAGCTACTGGTTCTTTCGCCATGGCCTCTACGTGTCCCGCCGGCTCGATCGTCAAGGAGAAATATGAGCGTCTGCCCGACTATGCCGCTCCAACCCACTACAAGATTCGCCTTGAGCCGGACTTTAGCTCGTAAGTTTTTAACATGTTTTTTTTACATTTTTTCTTAGGTTTACCTTCAAAGGCTGCGTTGAAATCGATCTCGACGTGTTGAAAGCAACAAAAGTTCTCAAGGCGCATGCCAAGGACTTGAGCATTAGTGGGATCACTTTGAAGCTTGCGAATGGACAAGGTAACTTGGTTGTTGGTTGCTTAATACTTTTTGTTTTAGAGTTGCCAAACTTGCAGCACACGTATTCGGAAAAGTCAACAATGCTTGCGATCGATTTACCAATCGAGGTTACTCCCAAAAAGTGCAACTCAAGATCGATGTATGTTTGATTAGTTTACTGCTGATAACCGAGGATTTTTAGTACATGGGCGTCCACAACGACAAAATGCAAGGATTTTATCGCTCGAAGTATCTTCACGAAGGACAGGAGAAATGGATTCTTGCTACTCAGTTTGAGGTAAGCTTTGGTGAATGAACTTATGATGTTTTAAATTTAGTCAACTTATGCACGGGAGGCTTTCCCGTGCTTCGATGAGCCTATGTACAAGGCTACTTACGATGTGACACTTGTAGTTGACGATGGTTTGACGGCCTTAAGCAATGCTCCAGTGAGACTAATACGTAGCTATTAGTTTAAATCGCTGGTTTTTAGGTTCGTGCTGAATCCAAAGAAGGAAAGAAACATATCGTCACCTTCGACACGACTCCAAAGATGAGTAGCTATTTGGTTGCCTTCGCTGTTGGGCACTTTGAGTATCTAGAAGTAAGGAGTATTTTTTATTTAAACACAAGAATTCTTTAGCAAAAGTCCTCCAAAGGAACCTTGATTCGAGTCTACACTGTTCCAGGAAAGAAACATCTTGGTGAATTTGCTCTTGAGGTAAAATATTAATCTAATCATATCATCTTTTAGTTTAGGTGGGAACAAAGTCGATTGACTGGTATGCGGATTGGTTTGGCATTCCTTATTCAATGCCCAAATGCGATTTGATCGCCATTCCGGATTTCAGCATGGGTAATAGTTTCAAAATGATAACGGTTTTGTAATATATTTAGGAGCCATGGAGAACTGGGGTCTTGTCACATTCCGAGAAATCGCACTTCTCTTCGATGCCGAGAAAACTTCAACCAAACAGAAGGCCTACGTCGCGCTTGTGATTGCTCATGAATTAGCGCATCTGTGGTTCGGCGATCTGGTCACAATGGTTTGTTATCATTATTGATCTCTTCAGGTACACTTCTTTAGAAATGGTGGACCGATCTTTGGCTGAAGGAAGGCTTTGCTTCGTTCATGGAATACCTCTTTGTTGGCTACAACTACCCGGAGATGAAAATTTGGCTGCATTTCTTGAACGACGAGCTTGCTTCGGGATTCGAACTTGATGCATTAAAAAATTCGCACCCTATCGAAGTTTGTGCTTTGCATAAGTGTAACTTAGCTTTTTAGGTGCCTATTGACAACCCAAACGAATTGGATGAAATCTACGATTCAATTACCTACGCCAAGTCCAATTCAGTCAACCGAATGCTTTGCTTTTACCTCGGTGAAGAGTCTTTCCAGGTTAATTAGTAACTTGAACGTTTTCATTGGGCTTTTAGAAAGGACTGCGCATCTACCTTCAACGCTTCCAATTTTCAAATGCAGAAACAAACGACTTGTGGAAATGTCTTTCGGAGGCTAGCGGAGTGGTGGGATTTTTTTTGACCAAATCATTCAAATAACATTTTTAGGATGTGATGGCCTTGATGTCGGGTTGGACAAAGCAAATGGGATTCCCGGTTGTAGCGGTCTCAAAAGTCTCCGAAGATGACAAGAATCTGAAACTTTCCTTCACGCAAAAACGTTTCATCGCCGACGGATCTGAAGACTCTGCGGACTCTTTATGGAAGGTAAATAATATTTGTTAGCGATGTATATAAAATAAAATAAAACTTTTTAAGGTTCCGCTAACATTCTCCAGCACAAGCTCACCTGATCAGCCCTTCCATAGGACCGTGTTGAGCGAACGTTCTAGTGAACAAAGTTTGGCCGTCGCTAAGGGCGAATGGTTAAAAGTTTGTTGACAAAGTTATTTCTTTAATCGTTTATTTTAGGTTAACCAAGGAACGACGGGTTTCTACCGTGTGAAATATTCCGGCGAGCTGCTCGAGGGACTTCTGAAAGCTGTCGCAAACCAAACTCTTCCCGTTTTGGATCGCTTTGGATTGAGCAACGACCTCTTCGCTTTGGTATCTTTTTGTCTAATTAGTTAAAAATGACAAATTTAGGCTAATGCCGGTCAAGTGCCCATCTCACAAGTGTTGTCATTCGTGGAGAGCTCGCTGAAAGAAAACGAATATTCTGTTTGGAGGTAAGTTGTCTATTTGAAGAACAAAGGAACAAGGATTTGAAGATTAAGGGACTTTTAGGACGCTTGATCTGGGAATCGTCCGGATTTCGGATACTTTGGCCTACTTCGATTCCGATGGCGCTCTCAAGAAACGGTTTTAATGCACAACTTTACTTATCTATTTTATTTCAGCTTTGATCGTTATGTCACCGATTTGCTTGCTGGTGTTTTTGGACCGTGTCGGATGGGAAGTTGCTGAAAAAGAAGATGGCCAAGTAAACATTTAAATAGTACAGTGTAATCAGTGATCATGTGATCATTTCAGGTGAGTCTCCTTCGTGGACTTTTGGTTGGACGACTTTGCAAATCAGGACATCAGCCATCGATAAACAAGGCTCAGGTAAGCCTATAAAAGTGTATCTTTTTGTAATTTACTAGTTTACTTTTTGTAGGCAATGTTCAACGCTTACATCGAATCGAATCAGAAAAATTCACGCGGATCTTCGCCTTGCAGTCTTTGGTGCTGCAATTCGATCAGGAGGAGATAAGGTATTTTTGCAAATTAGATATCTTAATAACTGATTATTTGGGCTTTTCAACAATTGCTCGAACATTATGAGAAATGTGGATTCCCCGAGGTTGAACGAGCTGCTCTCATCGCACTTGGATTGGTACTTAACATATTTTTGAGCCAAACAAACAATCTTTGAGACTGATCCGACTTCTGGTCGTCCGGAGAAGTTATCCCGACTACGCCGTGGCTCAGGGAAAAGTTCGCTCACAGGATCTCATCCAAATTTTTGTGGGTCCGGCTGTTTCATGGGATGGCCAGAAGTTCATTTGGAACTTCTTCAAGTTCGTTTTGACTCTTTATCTTAATCAATTTGTTTTAGGAGCAATCTCAGCTTGTTGCTCGACAAATTCGGAGGAGCTAACAGTGGTCTCTTCCAACGGTGCATGAAGGTTTGTCACCTTTTTTGTTTAATTAATTATTTGCTTTAGCTTTCTGCTCAAGAATCTTGCAACGAAGAGATGGCCAAAGACGTGGAGACATTCTTCTGTGGAAAGATTGATGCCACAGCCTCTGCTACCCTGGATCGTCCAATCAAACAGGTATGGTGTTGTTGTATAGTGAAGTGATTGATAGTTTATTTTTCGAGGTGACCGAGCACATTCGCAACAACGTGAAGTTCCTCGCCTTCGCCGCGCCTCAAGCGGACGAATATCTCAAGAAGAAAGGCTATTAAGCTAGCGGAAGTTCTCTTTTGATGTACCAAACGCTTGCATTCGACTTTCGGTTATTTATTTCTGTGATTTGCTTGTATAATTCCCCCGGTTTTTCATTTAGTGGATGCCGTTTGACTTGGTATAAGAGCATAAATATTACAAAACGAAAACGAAGAAGTGTTGTGCAGTTCAAAACGTTCATTTAAATCCCGCAGAAAGGATACCACCAACTGGTCGATCTACGTGATATGGTCGTTCATTTATCAGAAGGACTGCGGGGGTACGTCATTGTTTCTGATATGGTCTCTGCTTTCTTTTCTCTTTACTCTTCCTCCGGACTCTCGACCATTTCCCCTTCACTTCTTGGCTGTCTCTCGTGTGTAAGGGGTTGCTATAGGGGGGTTCTCTTTTCCTTTCTTTTGTCTTTTCTCTCACAGTCTCTTTAGCCCAGCTGCTTGTGTCTCCCAACTCCAGCCTCGACTCCACAAAAAAACTGCTCCCAATATCGATTGTTTGCCACCGATCTATTCTCCGATTTTTTTGTGAAACTGATCAATCTATTGATCGCTGATTTACGCCAGCTGTTCGACAAATTTCTTTTCAATCGATGATCACATCGATTTTATGTCGGGAATTCTTGGATTTTATTCGACTAACTGTTTCTGTTTTTGATTGGATCATGTTTGGCCTTGGAGAACGATTTTTGTATTTCGTTCTTGTAGCCGATGAGTATTCGATGATTTTTCCATTTCATTCTGACTCAAGCATTGTTCTTGAGGGATCTTTTGGTCTTCACATTACTGCGGTATAAGCAATCAGTCGAAATTTTTCAGGGCAAGCCAAAGCCAAGACCGATTGACGGAAATAGTCAACCCTCACTTCATCAACTCGCGTGTGATACATTGTCCTTGGGAGTGCCTTCCGTTTTCCGGGGAGTTTTTATTTCTGTGTATGTGCCTCTGGGACGCCCTTGAAATAATGTGAATCATTGGAGCGAATGGGAGGAATTTCGGGAGAGAGAAGGTGCGGGAAGAGGTGATTGGGAAGGCTCGCTCAGCCATCAAAGCGGCAAGGAACCGCCCTTATCTAGACTGGGACGGAGGAGAGCATAATAAGGGCAAGGATAAGGAACCACAATCAGTTGGGGTGGAAAGGCTGGGAGGAAAAGGGGGAGCAGGGGAAAGGGTGATTTACAACATACGGCTCTTTTGCGTTTTGATCCTGGGGGCACAGGGTGCGCGATTGCAGAGGGAAATTCCTCCTTGACTCTCGTATTTCCCTGGCTTTTACCATCTTTCGAAGATATCCTGGAACGAGCTAATACCGCTAGATTTGATTTCTATCGTGCTTTTGTGAACCCAGATATTTGGAGTGAATCTTGCTGCCATTTTGGCTGTCAAACTACTGAAATCTAGTGTCTTTTGGTCGAAAATCTGAAGTGAAATCTGGGATTTCCTTTGCGTTTGTCTAGTGTCTGGCAGAAGAAAGGCCTCAGTATTCATTTGTCAACGTGATTTCTCTATTGAGATTCCTAGCTCTGTGGAACTTTAACTTCAAATGCAACTCTATACTCTGGTTATGGGACTTCAAAAATCCCCAAAATCTTGTTGATTTGGAGGTTAACTTGTGCTCGAATAGAGTAGGATTTGGGGAAAACTCTGAAGCTTGATCCCTAACAACATAATGGGGGAACGGCCTGAGTCTCTCACTTTTTCCCCTTCCTTTGCCCACAAAAGAGACAACACCGACCGATTGCACAGTGGAAGCTCTCCTCCCTTTCCTGTGAGAGTGCGAGTGTGTTCTCGATCTGGGTGAAAGAGAGGTTTCCTCTTACCAATCGTCTCCTTTTTCTCTCTTTCTTTTTCTTTTTCCCCAGTCTTGCAGCCGCAACGCGCAGCCCTTCTCCCCATTCCCTCTCCCCTGTACCATCGTGTTTCCCTTGTTCTTCCATCTCCATCTCAACGTGTCATCATTTTGTTCTTCACTTTTGTCTTTCCTCTACTCCTCTTTACTCTTCTCACCACCCCTAATCTGTCTTTTTGTCGTTTCGACGAGAGACGACTAGTTGTATGTGTGTGTTTCTGGCAGACACTTGAATTTCTT